ATATAGACACCCAGTTCATCAATTTTTTTAGCAACCCACTTCTGTAAATATTTAATATATTGACAACTGAGAAAGCAAATAGTACATGTGAAAAAATCTGAACTGCAAATGTATAGTTAACACGTTTAAGCATTATGACAGCTAGTGTGTTATCTTCTACCACAAGTTCAGTATGTTCTGTAAACTGATATGGCAAGATCTGTGTTATCTTTGTTTTCAATATATAGGTATCTTTTAAATGTAAAAGACATGGACAATTTGTAGTTTTAATTTGAATTTTTACACTGATCTATTTTTATCCATTTGTTACATTCATGAAAATTAGAAATCTACTGATATATTGCCCAGTTTGTTCTATCTGCTGTTCCACATTAATTGTTCAGTAATGGAGCTAATCTTAATAAATCATAATTGTGTTGCATCATTACTGAGAGCTGCATGCTGGCAGAACACAATTTATTATCTGTTTTACATATTTTGTACAAGTTTTGAGAACAGTATATTCTACGTTCTATGCATAAACTAGGTAATCAAGACACCCAACATTTAACGATGGGCTAAGGAGTCTAGAATTATATTGTTAAACAAATGATTTTTACTATTAGATCCCAAACATTTTTGTCTAGGCCAGGTTTTTTAAAATCTGTTTTGTACTGTAAGATAAAGCTTAGCAGTCTTTAATTAGTACCTATGTGTGTGTCTGAATTACAATTTATATATACTGTATTTAATTTCAAATGAATGTGGTCTTTACTATACTTACCCTAATATTGGTTTCTGTTCAGCAACCTTTAAAAGAGTGCCAGTGCAAATTTTACATCTACAGATTGCTTATCCTGTTCTACCTTGGGAAATATAATGTGGTCTTTTAAATAAAAATGAGCCCAAAAATACATAATATTTTCTGTTCAATCCTAGCTCGGGCGGGGGGAGGGGAGTTTTAAGGTGTTTTCTATTGCTTTCTCCTGAGAGATAAATATTCAACTCGTCATTTGCAAATTTATTTAAAAGGCGGAAATTATTTGGGGCCGAGGAGTTTGACGAATTGGCATTATGAAGCAGTATATAAAACCAAAGTCATCTTCCTTCTTGAAGATCACGTTAATGCCATTGTTTCTGACATCATCATTAGTAGCACTGTCATTTTCTAGAGCAGAATATGAATATGCTTTTCTACCCCAACAAATAGTAGTTTGTATGCCAGTCCACTAATTAGTTCAGTTATTTCCTGTTTTTTTGATGAGGTTTAAATAAATGTCAGGGGTACAGCCATGAAGATCTCCCAATTAGGCTTTTCGTTTGTAAAACCCAGCCCCCTTTGCTTTTGTGTGAAGATGACAGTTCCAACTGCCGCGTCAGTCTAACAGGGCTCAAGGGAAAGGCTACTTCTCTGCTTTTATTGAAAACAAGGCCAGTTTGCCCATTGAGAATAACCGCATTGGTCACAGTGCAGTTCAGTTGTTAACAATGAATATTTACTAATCTCTATCACAGCCAGCATAGACTTCTTCTTTTTCGTGTTGTCCAATCGGGAAGGCACTTTAGGAAATCAGTGAATTAAAATGCACCAAAAGGAAACGAGACGGAGAAGTAAATAATTTTCACCGCAAACTATTTTACCGTTAGCAGGGCCTGCACCATTTGTTGTATTAATCCTGCAAGTGGTGGAGGGGGAGACCCCAAAACGAAACACAAATGAGAAATGCACAATTGATCTTTGCCTAAGATGTTCCGAAAAGAATTGTTCTATTTCTGTAAGGCGTGCGTGTCGGCCCCCTCATAGCTATTCTGGGCTGTTTGGTTGTGGGTGTGCAGAGGAGGGGGGGGTGGAAGAAGAGAGCGCTTAACTGCACTGCAAGTCAAAATTAACAGATGGATTGCCCTAAGCAAGGGAAAAACCACCACAACAAAATCTAGTGAAAGTGGAGGACTGAAGCTTTTTATTGTAAAGCCTTATTAAAACCTTGGCATGTATTTTACTGTTAACTCTTTCGTGCCTTCACGCCTAACTGATAATTCCTGTCTCCTGCGTAAATTAGATCGAACATAGCTTTTCTGATAAAGATCAGAATAGATCCTAAAAAGGAAAGTGAAAGCAGATTATGATATTTTTCAGCATTCACAATTTGATCGCAGCTACATGTCTTTCTCCTTACTTCTTTCCTTCCTTCAAAAACAGGCATCATAAACTATTGAGCTCTTACTTCTACAGATTCTGGTGGTTGAGGTTTTTTTGGGGGGGGGCATTGTTTGTTTAGCGTCCATATATGTCACTTTTCAGCTGAATGGTAAAACAAAAAAATCTGTTTCCGCAGCATTGCTTAAAAATAAGGATTTCCGACAGAACAAAGGCAAATATACTGGCAGTTTTCTTTGCTATCGTGAATTTGATTTCCCTAGTATTCCTTTTCACACAAGCATCTTCTCAGCTGATGGGATAGGCCTTGATCCATTTAAAATGAAACATTTGAGAGCTTTAAATAGTTACTGGCTTATAAAATATTGTTGCACTTTTGGCAGAGTCCTGTGTAGCAGAGCCATGAGAACATTTTATAATTAATAAGTTAGCAGTGCATCCTTGTCTCCAATGAAATATATATAAGATTTGTACCTTGAGGCATGCGGTAACTTGTAGCTGCAGTAAAAAAAATGACATTTGGGTACAAAGTGTAGATTTTCCAATAATCCCAGCAAGCCCAGCGCACCTCGTATCAATATGCATGTTTCAAAAGAGCAAATGAATTACTTCTCCTAAAGATACTGTATTTAAAATACCGTGTGCTTTATTGCTGAAACTTTGTTTTAACAAAGCTCCAGCAACAAAATAGCAACGTAATGTTTGGATTTTGTTAGCTGGACTTTCCGTTGCATCCTGTCCCAAAGATTACAGCATGTGAAATACCATCAGTAATAAAATTTCAAATAGAATTAACGAAGCCTTCAGAAAAGCACCTCAAAATTTGTTGTATGTTGCTTCATGGGGGGGGGGGATCGGAGTGACGCAACTGATATTTTGAAGTTTTATCCTTGAATAAGAAAAACCAAAGGCCATATTAAACGATGCAGCTTCCTAAGCGAATGTATGCCATCCATGTTGCAGTGTGTGTTCATTTGTAGATTCTGTTTTATACATGGCAAATCTCTTGCAGGCTGGCATGTTGGATCGTTTTCAGAAAGGAGCATGTTCCTTATACATCAGGAACCTCCCTTCCACTCTCCACCCCCCCCTCCCGCCTGCCTGCCCGACCAGCAGAGAAATGGCATACTCAATAGTTCGCTGCCCTCCCGTCCTGTCAGTAAGGAGTAGGTAGGGATGAATACAGTGAGCAAATAAAACTCAATCCTGGCAGGACAAAAATCTCATACTGTGATCTGAAGATTGCATGCAACAAATTCAACGTCCCGCTTGCACAGAATAATTTCAGAAACTGGAAGAGGAATACCTGTATGTTTTCATTCGGAATTAGATCAGCCGAAAGCTTTGGAGAATCGTATTGTGGTTTATGCCCACATAACTCCAGTCCTTCCACTGTGTAGTTCTCTGCTGGAAATTCCGCACAATTCTGGGGTAGCGTTAAGCCCTATCTGGCAATTTAAGTAATGTGAATAAAATATTATATGTGACAGATGTCATATACAGTAACAGTGAGCAGTATTGAATGTGTGGTTTGGTAGCATGCTTCGTTTTAAAGAGAAGATTTCCAATGGAAAAATGGTTAATTCAGTCAATTAGGAAAATATTTTGGACAAGAGAAATCATAATCTATAAATTCACTTGGTAATGGCAGTTTTTGTTTTAAAAGAGGATCTTTTGTCTTTTGCATGTCAATTATGATCCCTCTGTATTGCAAAACACTCAGCATATCTTTTAATTAAAAATGAAAAACCTATACGGCTAAAAATTTACATTGTAGATTACAAGACTGCCCTCTGGTGGTGTAAATGCTTTCACTGTATGTAGACAGTGAATGCTTCATGCTGAGCCGTAATTCTTTACAGCTGATCAGCTTTAAGAAACAAAATATTTATTCTTGTCATAGATTTTTTAAAATAGCAATAGTTCCTTCAGTGTTTCATCTGATATGGTCTTTTGATGCTTATACCAGTCTAGACCTGCCTTCATTGTGACTTCCGCATAAAGCCATCACCCCCTGTTTTTCATAGCTGTTTGAGGCACACAAACACACTGTTCTCCTGGGCTTGCCCAATAAGTGTGGGTTTTTGGCCCCTGATCTTCTGAGTGTGCTGTGAAAACCCAAATGGAACAATAAATGGCAATGGCGCATTTCCTGAGCACTTTTGCATGTCCTACCCCCTTAGTTCACTTTTCCACATTTAACAGGCTTAACATGCAATGTGTTCTTCCCACTAAAAACAAATAGTGCCTGAACCAACACAGCTTTCTCTGTTTTGATCAGCCTTTTCTGCTCAGACTAGCTTAAGGGGAGCTATAAACATGAAATGTAAGGGTTTGGCTAGATTCGTGGTGTTTTATGGTGAACACAAATTCCCGAAAGTTAGTTTAGCCTGGCTAAATTCAACCAAAGTCCATTTTCTCCAGGATGCTGTTTCTAACTGTTGCCAGCCAGATGATCTGGGAAACACGCAAGCAGAGGCAGAAGGCAACAGACTTTGTCCTGTAGCTTGACCTCAAATAACTGGCATTCATAGCTACAGTGCCTCTGAACATGGAGTTTCATCTAGTCATGGTTGGTCGAATGCCCTATTCGGGTCATTTAAGTAAGTGGCTTTCGCTACACATTTAGCATGAAAGTCCCTAAATAAATTATGCATCGGTGAAGAAGTATTTTCTTTTGTGCATTTTGAATATACTACCAAGTGGTTGAATTTGGTTAAAGAATCTGGTATCAGATTTAGTTATTTGAAACAAAGCTTTGTGGGCAAAATGGTTTTGCCAAGTGACAGGTAGCTGGCCGTGTTGGTCTGCCGTAGTCGAAACAAAATAATCATCATCATAATAATAAATTCCTTCCAGTAGCACCTTAGAGACCAACTAAGTTTGTTATTGGTATGAGCTTTTGTGTGCATATCTGAAGAAATGTGCATGCACACGAAAGCTCATACCAATAACAAACTTAGTTGGTCTCTAAGGTGCTACTGGAAGGAATGTTTATTTGTTTTTGGTTTTGGCAAATTTGAGATCTTGAATATCGCTATATCATGACAGTTGCCTATGATTATGGAAATGGAGACACTAAGCATTTTAAAATATACTGAATTACATAGAATCAGTTCCATAGAATTCATTATTGAAATAATAATAATAATAATAATAATAATAATAACAACAACAACAACAACAATAATAATAATACTTAACAGGTCCAATAAAAGGTGGCATTTCATCTGTTCTGCATCTCTTGATTATTATTTTTTAATGGACAATGTTCAGAGAAAGTTTGCATCCATGATTTTTCTGTATGTTAGCATACAACATGGCTATTTATCATGGCAATGTTTCTGCCATTCTGCTACTAGTTTTAATTTTTGTAAAAATTAACAAATGAACTTGTGAAGTATATCTCTTCATTTTGGCCTATTTTTTCTTTTCTTCAAATTTAGTTCCCTTCCAGGACACTTTTCCATACAGCTCCAAAGGAAAATTGCTAGTTGTTCAGTGTGAAGGTACCAGTAAGATATTAGTAAACACACTGTTTTATTATACAGATATCACCAGCAACACCTAGTGGATTCTGCAGCCCTTTTCCTTCCCTTGTTATATTACAGTTATAGATTCATGCTTGAATACCAAATGTAACCGTGGGTGTTTCTTGTATCATGACGTTCATGGTCTTGGCCTTCTTTTTTGGCAGTGTGCCCACTATTTTGAAACACACCACAAGAATTTGCGATTCGCTCTGGGTCTCCACAGTATGGGAAAAGACACCTTTGCACAATGCACATTTTTTTATTACTGTGGGCAGTTCATATCCTCTCTCTCTTCAAGGGTAACAACAGTTGAAAATAAAACTCACAAGAAAATCCTTAGTTAAATTAAAATTTAACCCCAGCTTCGTTTAGTTTAGGGTTTTTTTTTACAGTTTTTCGCAGACTTCTGCTGCCTTCTGGCAGGGAAAGAGCTTCATAATCGTAGGGCAGCCATATAAGACACCTATCTGCTTGCCTTTGCTGTTCTAATATAACATAAAAATAGTCCTAAAGTTTTAATAAGGTTTCTATGAAAGGCGTTTCATAGGGGTGGACAAAAACCTCATCCTGGTTAAATGGAACAAGCAAGAACATGGCTGTTTTTCAGCACAAAGATAAGAAATTACACTGACACAGCATTCATTTTACAAAGGGAAAGAAAGGTATTTCTATAAACAGAAATCACACAAAAAATGTAAGCTGGTTTCTAACTTTGTGCAAATGCTCTCCAAATTAAACCTTTATAAACTTTCCTAGAACTTGAAACCAGTTCTGTTTCCCCCCTTCTGTTTTAGCAAATGGAAGAGGGCTGGTGGTTATTAGAATACTGATCAGAAAAGAAGTCCCCCACTCTCAACCCCACCCCCATTCCCCACCTCCCCCACCAAAAAAAAGCCAGAGAAAATTGTGCACAGTTGAAAATGCAGAAAAGACAGAAATTAAAATCTTAAGTAACTGTGAACAGCAGGGGGACATCAGTAAAGGAAAGTTATCCTAAATGACTTTGACAGTTTTTGCAGGTGTGCATTCTATGCTGCTTCATCTAGTAGAGCTTTGAAAAGGATTTACTGCTCTCCTTTTGGGATTTATTAAGGGTTTCTTTCCTCTCTCCCCCTCCCCCCCTTTTCTTTACACTGGTGTTCCCTGCCATTTTATAAGCAGGTTGTTTTGCAAGTTATTTGCCACAGATACCTATCGAGTACTGTCCGTTACTTCACGGATGATGAGTGACAGAAATGTTCTCTCCTCCCCCATCTACACACTTCAACCCGTGAACTCGGGGCACTGAAAACAGAGCGGATCCAACAGAGTTTACTTGGTTCCATTTCGCTTTTATTATTGTTAAAAAGCACCTCAGGTTTTCTGTGTGCCTTTGACCGCCCCCTTGAAAGTTTGCCCATTTTTCACCTGAATTCTGGACTGTAGAAGAAAGTGTGCAAATAAATTAAAAAGCCTAAAGGGGGATTTTAAGGGTCCAGGGAACTGTGTAGTTACTCACCTACCCCTAACAAGGCACAGCTCAAGGAGGTTCCCAAACCTTGAAAGCGAAAGAACTGCGATACCCCTGAGCTTGCTGGACTGACCTCAAAGGAAATCCTTGACCAGCTGAGCCAAAGATTTTCCCTCCCCAGCTTATATGACTGGTAACAGTCCGGTCACAACACTGACCGTGCTCTGCCTGTGGTCACAGGGGCTAAGAGTGCTTTGGAAGAGAACAAAAAGGTTGCTCCTAACTTTTAGCTCCATCTTGAAAGAGTACTGGAAACTCAGGAAAATTCCAGTAAACAAGTGCTCAAGTCTGCAAATGAGAGCTGGACTAGCACATAAAAGAATTAGTCTCATAGTGAAATATAAAAAGCCTCTTATCAGTTTCACTCCCAATCCCTATCTGTATGACTCAGAGCATCCTTTACCAAACTTAGTTGGTGCACCAGCTATTACCGTAGGGATGCAGGCGGTGCTGTGGTCTAAATCACTGAGCCTCTTGGGCCTGCCAATCAGAAGGTTGGCGGTTTGAATCCCCGCAATGGAGTGAGCTCCCGTTGCTCGGTCCCTGCTCCTGCCAACCTAGCAGTTTGAAAGCACGCAAGTGCAAGTAGATAAATAGGTACCTCTGTGGCGGGAAGGTAAACGGCATTTCCATGCATTCTGGTTTCTGTCACGGTGTCCCATTGTGCCAGATGTGGTTTAGTCTTGCTGGCTGCATGACCTGGAAAGCTGTCTGTGGATAAATACTGGCTCCCTCGGCCTGAAAGCGAGATGAGTGCCACAACCCCATAGTCGCCTTCGACTGGACTTAACCATCCAGGGTTCCTTTACCTTTACCATTTCCAGACAAGGGGAGCCTTATCGCAATAGTCCGTAAATATCATGATTGGACTACTGTGTAATTTGCTGTTTGTAGGGCTCTCTTGACCCTTTTTTGGAAGTTGCAGCTGGCTGCCTACTAGCTAATGAGCCAAGTTCATGGTTTTGTTGTTGACATTCAAAGCCCTGGAGAACATGGGCCCAGGTTATGTAGCATGCCAGCTCCCCTGGTACTGATGAGGTTGATCTTTAAGATCTTCCACGACTAGCAGATGGTCACTTTGTGACAAGGTGGAAGCAGGCCTTCTGGGTGATAGCACCTTCTGCATTGGCCTTCCTCAGGTAATTCACAAGGCTGAGACACTATTAGCTTTAAATGCCTCTTTAAAATGCGTATGTTTACCCAAGCATTCTCTGAATTTTTATTTTATTATTTTATATACTGCTCTGTTTTACTTGTGACTTACTGTTGCTGTTTTATCTCTAGTTTTTAGGAAGTTTTATTCAGTATTGTGTTTTTATGTAAAAAGCCTCACTATGTTTATTATATTTAAATGTTTTATAAATTAAAAAATGGTATAGAAAGAAAATAATAAATGATAAGCCCTGGGTGGTCGTAGAGAAGGCACTGCCACCTCCCGTTTTCTGTATTTAAAGGGGGAACAGTGGTGACCTTTCTCATAGGATTGTTTCAAAAATTAGCAGGATAAAGATTGTAAAACAAGTTTTCTCATTAAAAGAGCTTTTAAGTGACAGGTGATAATATTAAACCTTTAAAAGGTTTGGAGACAGTGACATTTCTCCTCTAATTTTATGCCAGGGTTGTTCTGTATATAGCTATCTCTTTAAATAAAAATACACACAACTAAATGTCAGCATCTTTATAGCATATGTCTAGGTATAAGGGAAAACAGAAAGGTGGCCCCACCCTTCCACAATTAGAATTGAGAAAGTACCTATTAATTTTTATTTTCCCATTGGAATATGATCTGCCCTGTCTTAATACAAAATGTTGGCAGAACCACAGTTTTCTGTGGACCTTTTTGATGAAATGAAGATGAGCGTAACAGTACCAGTGGAATTTTGCCAATTTTAATTGGAGAATTCATTTTTCATTCCCCAAAGGCATCCTTTTCTTTCCTTTTCCTTTTCTTTTAACCCTGCCATATTTACAAACTGAATATTCATTGTTTTCAGAAGCTATTCTGTGGACCTTCACAGTAATCCCATGAGGTTTTATTCTGATGTAAAAAACAAAAAACAAAACCCATCCGTGTTTTCTTTAAAAGAAGAATACTACCATCTTATCTTTATATTAGGTAAGCTCAGGGCAAGAATGAACAGAACGAAATAACACAAATTCATGCTACATCCCATCTGTAGGATTTTTTTTTTTTTTAATAAAGAGGCAAGATAGAAATTCTTTAATAAATATTGGAATCTGTAGAGCTGGCTAAGACCCCAGCAGAGACTTAGTTTGTGTATGAGAGTAGATATACATTTATTGGCACTTAAATGTCCAAGTGCCTTGTGACAATTACATTTGAGTCATGTTCCTCTTGTAGCCTGCCATTCTGTAATATGTCTTGGCTATCCCCTTATTTTTTATTCAACCTGCTAATGCTTCTCCATGGTAGCACATTTCCTAAAGAGTTCCACTTACCTTTTACATTTGTTAAGTGAGGAATAATAGTAATAAATTAATAATAATAATAATAATAATAATAATAATAATGGCTGCCATATCCAGAAACTTAAATGTACTTTTAGCTATGTCTTCATATTCCTGATGGTGACTTCTTCAATAGTAATATATTAATTTTTATTTTGTACATGTCTTCAGTGCTAGTCTAGAAATTTCTGCTGCACTTTAGAGGATATCTAGTGTATTTTCATCTGTTTTTAGCTTTGATTTCATTTCTGCTTCAGTTTTAATATGCCATTTTGAATTGAGAGAGAGAGTTTACTGGTAACTATATATATGAACTATATATATATGAACAAAATAGTCCTTGCTTCATTTGTGATTTCAACCCCGGTCTGAAACAAACTTTGCTCTGTCCATTGCCTGTCAATTCACCCTGAATTTTTCATCTGAACTGCTTTGGATAAGCGATGAATCCATTTGAATACTTCA